AGGATGCAGAAGCCTAAGACCAATGGCCTGGCAGCCTAAACCCGACGAAGCCCAATGCCTTGAAAACCTAAACCCATCTAAACCCTTTCTACCCTGAACCGGCGGGTTCTGGAACTTGCATGTCGGAACAGTGGGAAGATGGAGGAAGTCTCGTGGGCTCAGCCCAAAACATGCATGACGTCTGATCTTAGGGTTTAGGGGTTTAGGGTTTAGGGGTTTAGGGGTTTAGGGGTTTAGAGTTTGAGTTTAGGGTCTGAAAATCACCCCCAAACCCTGAAAAAACGCCCTAAGCGCTAAACGTCTCGGTCTCTAGGTGAAGAAGCGAAAATTCGGGTTTCGCTCTTTGGGGTGAAGGGCTCTTCCCGGAATTTTTGCGTTTATGGTTTAGGATTTACGGTGTAGATGGGGGTCGGACTCAAAGTTTTTTAGGTATGGAGTCTGGTGTGTTTAGGGCTTGAGTGAAATCCAGGGCTTTATTATAGGGCTTCATGGGCTTATTATTTTACTTATTATTGTATTCATTTTTTTGCTTTTTTTTTTGGGGGGGGTGTTCTACCTAGAAGACCGCAGGGCGAAGACGGTGGATACTTAGCCGCAGAGATATGTAGAGACTGTAGGAGGGGGTCTGAGTGCTAATTACTCAGATTTTGGGATTATCAGGCTCTTGGGTGTGGTCGGTTGACATACCACCCACAGTATACACGTTTAGGGACTATCTTGGAGCACAGACGAGTACTGAGACTTTCATGTATCGTCTGTCGGAAAACAGAGAAGCCTGTTTTGCCTAGCATCGACCACAACTATCCGTAAGTGGTCGGACCCTTATGAAATAAGGACCACGCTGAGAAACCCCATCAGGTCCGAAGTTTCGGGCAGCTTCAGCTGTGCCTACTCACAAACCTTCAAGTAGGATTCTGTGATCAGATTTGCGGCACCTCGCTGTTTTTAGGGTTAAGGGGCCTAGTTCCGCTGAAAGCTGATGCCCTGCTCCTGTACACGGCCAGCAGGAAACAACGCGGCTGTTCCGCAATAACCTAATGGGATCTTCATGGTAGACATGTCATACTCCGATAGGCTCCTCAAGGAGAACCACTCTCCAACAACTCGAACAATCCGATCCAACCCTCAGAAAGCACCTACTAAACAAAAGAATCATGTAAAGCGCAAAAAACCGTATGTATATGTGTATATGTGTATATGTATGTGTATATATATATACAACCATAAACCATCAGCAAACGCTACGAAGCCAAAACAAGCTGCACACCGTTTGCCATCCGGGTGACTCCTTCGCCATGCGTTGCACCAGCATCTGTAGCTCTTCGGACAGCTGCCAGATGACGCTCCTTTGGCGGGTTTAGGGGTTTAAGGCTGAGGGTTTAGGGTTTCACGCTTTCTGGGGTCCTTTAACGGATGGTTCTACAACGTTCTGTAGTGGTTTTGCGATCTTGGAAGTTCTAAGATTCAAGGCTTCTGAGGTTTAGGATAGTAGACGGGGTCCCGTAAGGGTTTCATAAGGGCTTGGTTTATGCGCTCTGGGTTGCAGGAATCTTCAAAATGGGTTCTTAAGGCGCCTGTTTTTACGGGCCTTGACAGGGTCTTATGAGGGTTCTCTGGTCTTTCTTAAACGGCTTCGCGGTCAAAATCCGCGGTTCAGGGTTTATGTTTAAATGTCGAGGGTTGAATGTTGAGGGGTTTTGTGGAGGGCGGTCACTGGTGTGCACAGCACACCCGTTCCGTTCGTACTGCGCGTGGCAGGCAGCCAACCCCAAGACCACGCGGAGATCAAACATGTTCGGGTATAGTTCAGTGCTCTAGGCATCCCAGCAGCAGGGGCTTGTGTATAACCAAGGCATGCCAGCAGGGGTTGGGGCATCTCCTTAAACCAGGTGAACCAAAACAGATGACAATGAGAAGTTTCCGTGGATCGTCGCTGGATGAAGATAGCATACCGTAAACCCTAAACCCTAAACCCTAACAGGCCTTAGACCCTAAACCTTCAATCAGGACTCGTGGGTGTTAAAGGAACCCCGTGAGTGCACTTCCAACAGCCCTTGAACCTTCAACCCTTTAACTGCTGAGCCATGAGAGACCGATGCAACTGTACAGTGAAAATGATCCCGGTTCGGCCGGCCCCCCCCCCTCCCCCCCCCATGGTTGGTACCCCCCCCCACCCCCGCCCTCCCCTGTCGTGCGGTGTGGTTCGGGACTTGGATCTGCTTGGAGTCCCGCCCTTCTGTGGTGTGGTGTGGTTCGGGGTTTAGGTCTGCTCTCAGTCCCTCCGCCCCCCTGTGGTGTGGTGTGGTTCGCGGTTCGGGTCGCCCTGGGTGTTTCGACATCGTCGTCATCGTCATCATCATCATCATCATCGTCATCATCATCGTCAATGTCCTCGTCATCCTCATAGTCAATCTCATCGGCATCATCATCGTTATCATCATGATGTTCCTTTCTTGGGTCAACTGCCAGGAAGCGGGCCCGATAGGAACGCCTCCTGGTGACAGTTGCATTTCAATACCCTCATGGCAGAGTCCTGGTTGGAAAGTGTCCATTGTCACAAGGATCGGGCAAGGATCGGGTGTGTTTGGGACGAGATCCTCGTGACAGTTGATGGCTTTGGAGCCGCCATGTGGGAGAAGTACAGTCACAGGGATTCGGCAAATTTGGACCTGGGCGTGCCGGGCAGGGAAGCCATGGGGGGCGGGGGGGCTCAGGGTGGGTGGGTGGGTGGGTGGGTGTGGGTGGGTGTGGGTGGGTATGTGTGTGTGTGTGTGTCTGTGTGTGTCTGTGTGTGTCTGTGTGTCTCTGTGTGTGCGTGTGTGTGTGTGTGTGTCTGTGTGTGTGTCTGTGTGTCTCTGTGTGTGTGTGTGTGTGTATGTGTGTGTGTGTTGTGGTGGTGGTGGTGCTGCTGCTGCTGTGCTGTTACTGATGTCGGTGCTATAATCTACAAAAAACGTGATGATGATGATGATGACGATTTGGAAGGCAAGGGGAAAGGGCCGAAAATGAGAAGGAGAGGACGCTAGCGCCTGATGATGATGATGATGATGATGAGGATCGGCAATGATGGGCGCTGGTGTCCGCTATGACCAACATGGGGACTCGGATGGAAAAGTGAGATAAGTCCGTCCGGTACAATAGTCGTGGCACATGTTGAGAGCCGATGTGGCGTCCCACCACGCCCAACCGGAGTCGTTCATCACACCTCGGTAGGGCAGTCCGACATGAAGAGGGAAGCCGCGAGCCTACCACGCCCACACGGAAAGGTCGCACCGGCGTTTGAGCAAGGCTCGGTAGACTTCATCAGCATTGCACTTGCCGCCGCTCTGCAGGCTCCTCAGCGACCATGTTGCAAGTCCGGGGCGCACAGTACTGCCTGGAAGAGGGTGGTGATTACGCTCTCGCAACTCGGACTTGCCACATACACTTTAAACCATGAGAGCACTTACACTTGCAATTGCCACAGCAGCACAGAGATAGGCCCAAAACCCCGTCGAAGTCTTCATGCCGCTACAGTATGGACAAAGCCAGACGGCTGGGATAGCACGGGGATGTTGAACGCGGCAGCATCCTGGTGTACTTGCACATGTGTGCAATGTACTTACTGGCAGAAAGGCTACCGATAATTTATTGCCGCCTTGACCAGCGGACCGGGTTTTCGGTGCAGTGTCTATTGCTTCAGCTCTCATAGCTTTGCAGACCGGGTGAGGCTGCCGCTTGCGTTGATCAAAAGAGTTGGAAATTGCGGCACAACATGATGGGCTTACAGCTGGTGTCCACACGACATGATGGGTGCAGATGTTCTGAGTTCGGACTTGGAGTGGACGGCAGGAAGACTCACTCCATCCAACGCATGTGACACTACAGGTAGTTCAGGAGCCCATCCCATCAACACATGGAAAATCCTCAGGGAATCTCATGGAATGCAACATCCATGGTTTAGCCTGGCATGTCAGTCAGCAGATGAGTACACAGGAAACGGGGGCTCATGAGACATCATCACACGCACATTCTGCTGCAAAGTTTTCGGTCAAGGATGGGTCAGGTGAGGACCTGCCTGATTCTGGATATTCTGGCTTACTGTACCAGGGCTTGAGGTTTGGGGTTGAGGGTTGCTCTCTCGCTATTTAGAAAGACAACCATTATCGACCATCTGTCATCATCTGTCCTCGGCGCAACCGACACACCAAATCTGTAGAGCACACGGCAAAACGAGCTCGACAGGTCACTGAACTGCCCGGGTTGAAACCACCGCGAGGCATGGGGAGTGCACAGCCGGAGACCTCGTAGCTACGCTGCGGCGTAAGAGCAAGTGCTTGTCACAACCTAACAGACTGGTGCTGGCCTCGAGTATGGCAGTGCGTGGCCAGCAAAAGAACATGGCCTTTGCGACCTTCGCGCGAGCACAAAGAGATGTATGAGAGTCCGAGCGAGTGACGAAGACAGACACATGGACAAATGCATCAAATTCAGGTCAAGACCAGAAGGAACAATCGGACATACCCTTCAGGCCACAGGAAGAGGAGAACACACTAATCGGCTTGCACCTTGGCCATCAACAGGCCGCCGCGCTCTGTTGCAAGTCTACGGGTTGACTCGCTAAGTGATTTCGACCCGCGATTCCGCGATGCATGCCTTATTTCAACTATCGAAAGCTATGTCTTTAGGACGTAAGTTCGCGGTCCTCGGTCGGATTGGGCTCCCGAGTGCGAACCAGAGGTACTTCTTCGGATGTTGCTTCGAAGTTCATGACACGGTCAAAGCTTAAGTAGCTGTGCAAGTTTTCTAGCTTTGACCAACTTTGCAACACAAGCCTCCCAGGCACATAGACACAAACAGCTCGAAACCTTTTGATCGCAGGATCCCAGTTTGCTCACCCTGCCACTTCCACGGTCCGCAGAGGTTGCCGATACAGATCCTGACACCCATGAATGTCCCCTCGAAGCCCAAAGTGGGAATCCCCAAATCCAAAACAGGCCACACTGAGAGCGGCGAGCCACTAGCTCACGTAGGCGACGTGGCACAGCGATCTCCTCGCAAAGCAAGGACCACGTAGCAGCAACCTGACCGCGAGCATGCCGTTCGAGTTGGTCTCCGAATCTCCTGCTTCAGATTTGGGCTTCCGTGTTGGAGACCTTAACATTTCAGAATCCGGGCTTCAGCTACCTGATGAGCTTCTGTAAGAGATCTGCGAGTCAAAATCAGAAACACAGTTGACTGCTCGTGACGCCGCAAATCGTCTCACTTCGACAAGACTCTTGCCACGGCTCGTGCTATAGCTGTAACATTACAGGCGTATAGGCTTCAAAGTTTATGGGGCCCAAAGCCTTGCTTCAAGTTCAGACCGAAGGAGCTGTGGTGGAGAAGCCGCTATCTCGGCAGCCCAACTTCAAGTCGGTGCTGTCCTCAGGTTTGTGGGACGGTCTCATCAAGACTTCTGCGGGCTCAGGGACGAGGTTTACGTAGCGCGTGAGGATTGCAAACTGTTTTCGCTCGGACAGTCAGTGGAAAGCATGGTTCAATCAGCTCGAGCTCTCAAATTAAGCTACAAAGAAACGATTCAGGGCTTCTCCAGCTCAGATCTTGAGATTCTTGGCATAGCTGCTCAGTCCAGTGCTGCTGCACTTGTCGAGTAGTCTGCGGTCCTTGAACTTTGCATCTGTAGCACCAGGGAAAAGACAGTTGGCCAGAATCGGGCGTCTTGTGACCCAGGTTACTTCAAAGAGACTTGGACGAGACCGTAGACAAGGAGCATCGAGAGGCGGTCGCGCTCGCCTGAGGACGAGCCGATTCTATCATCGGTCAATAGCCGCATACAGCACATGAGGGCATCTAAGACGGCAGGAGTCGAGCCGGTCTTGTACAGTAATGTGTAGACAGTACATGCCAGCCCCATGATGGAGCAGAGAAGTGATGAAGTACTTTACTACGTCGCAGGGGTCCACATTCAAGCAGCTGAAAGCCAGACTGATGCCACCAGGGCACAGCATGGGATGCTGGCGCTGCACAGCCTGCACTGCTTCATGAAGAGTACTGAGGTTCAGCATGGAGCCATCCCAGCGAAGGAGCACCTGACATGACTGACATGCTCGCAGGCGTCACTCCTCCTGGCAGTTTTGAATCAGTGCAGCTCGTTCAAGGGTCTGCATTTAAGGAAATTTTGTGCTGAATACCGGGAGGCTGCAGAACACAGCATGCCGAATTCAGGAAACAGCTTAGACACCCTAGAAACACCAAACGAAACTTCCAAGTCTGAGCCAGGGACATCGACTTGACAGTCCCACGGCGCATTGGTGGCACCCTCCCGGTGAATCCTGAACGACACCAGGCAAGACTGCTACAAACCCAACACAAGCAGCAAACTCCAGTGAAGACCATCATAAACACCATCCGTTCAATGTGAAACTGGAGACACTTGTTGCAACAGCCACCCTCCTCATGGCAACCACAGCTACTGGTTGGGATGGGATTGTTCGGAAGGGCCGTGCGTCAGTGCTGACGCCCGGCACGACTCGAATCTTTGGACAGCTCGCAAATCGCTCTCACACTGGGGTGGTACATTAGTGATCAGCAGTGGCGCCTCTACGATAGCACGACCCTTCCGAGCAGTCTCATCCGAGCCGGTGGAGGGGAGGGGGCAAGCCACCAATGCTCCTGGCGCCACCGTGAAACCAGCGCTGCAGCATGCGATGAAAGCCGCCGCTGGACTTCGAAGCAGCAGATGCTTCCTAATGCTCAGGGCTTGGAGGCTGTGGCTCCGGGTTTCGGATTTGGTGTCTCACGGACGCAAGAGCTTGCTCCTCGGCTTCGATCGGAAGCTTGACTTTCACATGAACATGATCGGACGCAGTCTGAGTTGCGACATGTCGGATTTGTAACGTCCGGAGAACTGAAAGCGATTGGGTTCACCCGCGCGGAGATGGACAGGGCGGCCCTCTCCAAAGGCTGATGCCATGCATCTGCATGTAGATCAATCCGACCATCTCGTCTGACAGAGCATGCCACCCGATGCCGCATGAACGTAAGGTGTACAAGTCGGATAGGAATCTTTAAAGCCCTGAGAGTCCTGCTTCGTTCTTCTGAGTTGTCTTGCACAGCGAGCAAGAACACAAACGTGGGAATGAAGGCTGAAGCATTCCGGTAACTTCCGATTGCAGTCGTGGGTCGGTGGTCCCCATCACCTTCACAGCCATGACATGCACGGGGTGTTGTCCGATAGCTCTTACCGCCCAAGCACATGAAGTGCAAACCCCAGTGGGGAAGCTGAAAAGTCATAGCGCGCCAATCAACATGGGACGGGACTCCTAGAGAGTTGGAACAAGGCGTAACAAGGCTTTGCATTGAAGCGCCGATACTATGTAGTCCGAACAGCAGCTTTGCACATACACACGGACGCATTTGGCTGTGCCCAAAGCCAGGCTTGATGCGCGGTTCTTTTGTACCAACAGGTACAAACGACATAACACGGCAGCTTGTTTGCTTAGTTGCCTAGCTTGACATCGTTCTGAAGAGTGCACTGCAGGTTTCCTCAATCCCTCGAAAAGCCTGGATTCGTAGGAGCCCGAGCTCCCCCACACCTACAAGGTAACTTCTGCAATTCTAAACCTTGAATCCTTTTGAATCCATGAACCATTTTTGAGGGGGGCCGGCAGTGTGCATGCCTCATGCACGCCTCACCCTACACCCTATGCCCTCTATACATTGACACCAAGCCCTGAAACCCTCAAACTCAAGCCTCAAGGCGCTCCTCAACCAGCTGCAAGAAGCCAGTCTCGTCTGCACACGCCTCAGGCATTTCGTTTACTCTATGAAATGTAGCACATCGCTGTAATTATCTAGTTTCTGATCACTCTAGTCAGTCAGCTATCCTGCAAAACTCAGCTAACCAAGTTGGAATATGAAACGATGTTGTCGGGGCGCAGCCCATGTCTGGACCCCGGTTCAAAACAAAGGACACCTGCAAAGCCCGCTCATGCCACCTCACGCAGCTCGTTGAACTCAAGCGCCTCGCCTCCAGCACTCACAAAGTCAATATGTAATGGAATAAATAGCAGATCAAAGTACAACGGAGACCCTTCCACATGATTCCGGACTTTTTGATGTCTTGCAGCTCCTGGCCACTGCATTCACGCTGCCGCTGGTGCTCGTAGAAGACCATGGAGGCAGAGTGCGGCAGCGAGAGTCGGCAGCCGCGCCCCTCTTCGATCGGAATGTGAGCTATTGCGTGAACTTCTTCGGTTGCAATCTGATCTAGGCCGTCCTCTCCGAAGACGAAGGCCATGCGGTCATGTCTGAGGTCTGCTTCCCAGAGCTCGGTTGCCTCCTCGGAACAGCTGAGCCCCAAGGTGTGGAAGCCCAAACCCTTGAGCTCACACAAAGCTTCCGACAAACGCACCTCTTCGGGCGGTGTGAGCAGGGCCACGCCCCAGTCGGGCCGTCGCTGCAGCTGCGAAATGCGGATCTCTTTGTTCCGCGCAGCAGAGCCCAAGCCACCAAGCACCAGCAAGAAGGGCACACCAAGAAGGGCACATACTCGCAGTGTTGCTCCCACGGAACCTGGAGACGGCTTCAAAAGGACTGCCACGGAACAACCACCTGGCTCTTCCAGCTCTGTGAGGAAGGCATCCCAGCTCTTGCTGAACAGCTGCCGGAAGTACGCACGCTTGGACTCAGGGCTTCCACTCACCTGGATCTGGGGCGGCGCCGCGTGCCGCAACAGGCGGCCCGACGGCCGCATGCCCCCTGCGGCCCCTCCTGCGGTGCACGCACCGCGGGACGTCAGGAAGGCCAGTGCCCAAGGAAGCAGAAAAGCCATGGCAGATGAGGGCAACTTGTCTGCTCACTGCTGCCGAAACAGTCGGACACTGAATTAGAGAAATGAGGCTTCGTCCGAAAATCTCTCTTTGACACCGCCTGCTGACTACCTCAATGTTCTACCCTCAATGTATTGTGTAGTAATAGTCATGACTAGCATGGACTCCGAAGCACTGGCGACGCAAGCACAACAAATGGACTAGCTACGCCAGCTAGCTTTCCTTGAAACTTGGATACGCCTGCCAGAAGCAGGCCACGACGAAAAAGAATGCTCGCACAGGCCAACTGGAATGCTTCAAGGTGCACTGCACAACTTTGACCCAAGTCGAGTGCCTCCAAGCCTGTTAGCGTGCAGGCCCTGCCTACCCGTTCCGGCATCTGAAGTGGAAAGTCTTGAAAGGTTGTGCAGTAAGGATCCCACTGACCGGGCGCATGTGCTTCTTGAGGAGGACGGAAAGCCGGGCGATGCGTAAGGAGTCTACCTGTGAACGCGGACCCAGAGTCTCTCGCACAAACGGCGTGTTCGTCCGTCTGCTGTTCTCAGAACTGTGCAGGGATCCCTCTGGCAACATTGTCGCCGGTATCTGCACAAGCAAAGGCTTAAGTTTCTCATCTTTACTTTGTCTCAAACCCACAACCGAACGTATGTGCAGCTGACGGCTTCTATGAAAGATTCATCCAAAATCTTGCAGCGAGACCGACGTTTTCGGCGAGGTGCACTTCGGAAGTCCACGCCGGCCTCACAGAAGCCGACTTTCGGGGGGCCAACGAATCACTTTGGAAGCCTTCGACTCCTAGGACATCCCCCTACGGATCCCAACCCCAAATGCACTGAAATTCAGGGTCACTCCACTTCCTGTGTCCAGCCGAACATATGGGTCGGCCTGCCGGGCCAGCTGCTGCGCCAGCTGGGCTGCGGGAGTCTGGGCCACCACCGCAGCCACCTGTAGGTTGGGGTCGGGGATGTAAAGATAGCTCTTCGAGATACCTAAGCATGTCGGAAGAATGGGAACGTGGAGCGCGGCTTCCCAGAACTCCCCGGATGATATCCGACCGTCCCACGTTTTGGGACTCGGGATTCGTCCTTGGCGACCGAAAACTCTTGCAACTAAGCCATCGGGCCTCTTCGTTGGCTTCTTGTGCCACATCCTGCTCAGGCTGCCGGATGGAGGAACCCACATCAGAACCCACCACGCCACCCGGGCTCCTCCATGAAGTTGCTTTCTGTGTCCACCCAGATCACCTTCAGGCATCTGGCCGGCACGAGTTCTGCAAGCACAGAGTACTGCAAACCCCGACCCGGATCTACAGGGTTGTAACTTTTTGTCACTAAGGTACAGGTTATAACCGCCTTAACCCTAAATGGTTGCTCTAGGCAGCTCCACCTCGTTTCGGCCCATGCCGCTCTGCACGTGCTCCAGGTGACCCGATGGCCCGGCCCATGGAGAGGACTCCTGAGTGTTTACGCTCTCACAACTCGGACAAGCCAGGCGAGGTTCATGGGGCGAGCAGGAGTGTTTAGGATTTAGGGCTTATAAGGCTTTTTGTGTTCTCAAACTCGGGCTCAGGGCTGCTACTCCGACTACTCCCACTCCTGTCTCCTACTCCTACTGCTACTACTCCTGCTCCTGCTCCTGCTCCTGCTCCTCCAGCGACTGCTGCTGCTGCTTCTACTTCCACTACTACTCTTCAACTTTTGTTCCCCTTGATTATCAGCCGCAGATTGTTGGAACTAATTTTTATCGTCAAGAACATCGTCATAATCTTCATCATCGTCAGCGGTGGTGAATGTGGATATGTCGACCTGTGTAACCTTCAACATGGCAACCCTCGTGACGCCAGGATGCCTTCTTGCGCGCGATGGGCACCCCGCCCTTCTCAAGCCACTTCCATGCCAAGCCCTGCAGGTCGGGGCTTGGCCCTGCATACGATCCGAAAGGGGTGTCTGGGCTACGAGACGGCTTGGATTTCTGATCTCGAAACAGGATGTGGCCGTCATTCAAAACTAAGCGCCGACAGAAACGTGATCCGAACACAACTCGGCTTGGGCTGCTGTTTTGCGTAGGAGCACGTGCCTGAAACTCAAACTGCATAATGCTGGGCAGCGCCAGGACGAACAGAATCGGGAAGCAAACCTGCACGGGCACACCATCTACGAATCTACGTGCCACGAGGCGCCGACGCTACTGAGGGCTTGCATTTCACGCATACACGGAAGACACAATGCAGTACCAGACATTCTCTGCATGCGTTTTTGCTTGAGCTTGGCCGTGACGCAAGGGCTGTCTTTGACAAACTCAGCTTGCAACCTAAACCGCGCTATGTAGCATCCCTCTATATCGAGGATATTTCACTAAGTCCGCCATTTGTTGTTACTATAATTGCTACTATTCGTGTTTTTCTTGTTGCTGTTGTTGTTGTTGTTATTATTATTACTATTACTTCGGCTCTGTATATTCGTGTTACCGCCCAGAAGCCAAATACCGGAGAGTCTCGACCATACTCGAGCAGTGAGCCGCCACACGCTGCATTGCCCAAGCCTCGCAGGGAAGCCGAGCACAGGCGAAGGCGGGCTATTGCTGGTTTTGGGTTTTTGCTCACAACTGGGACAAGCCTGGCGAGGTACCGAGTACGACGAAAGCACTTTGGCGAGGTTTAGGGTTTCGACTCACACACTCGCACAAGGCTGGCATGGCTGATGAAGGTTTAGGGTTTAGGGTTTCCAACCTAGACACACACACACACAAAAAAAAAAAAAAAAACACACAAAAACACACACACACACAAAAAAAACACACACACAAAAACACACACAAAAACACACA